GAAGCAGAGCAAGATTAAGGGAGAAGTGAGGGAGATAAACCCTTGCAGGCCATGCCCCCAGTGACCTGTCTCCTTTGACCAGCCTTAACCTCCTGTCACATTTAGCTACAAACTCATCTAAGGACTAATCCACTGATGAATATCCAATCACCTTCAAAAGCCCCTACATGGGGCTTTGGGGGACATCCAGCCATAAACCATACTGAAAGACTCCTAGAGTTAGTAACCAAATTTAGCAATATACCAGGATACAAAGTCAACACACAAAAGTCCATAATGTTCCTGTACATCAATAATGAACCCACATAGAAAGAAATTAGGAAAACAATACTATTCACAGTAGCATCGAGAAAAATTAAATACTTAGGAATTAACCTAACCAAGGAAGTGAAATCCCTTTACAATGAAAACTCTAGTACTCTGAAAAAGGAGATCCAAAAGAACATCAGAAAATGGAAAGACATCCTGTTAAGCTGGATAGGCAGAACCAACATTGTCAAAAGAGATTTAATGCAATTCCAATCACAATAACAATAGCTTTCCTCATAGAACTAGAGTAACCATCCTAAAATTTATAGGGAGGGCTGGGGATTTAGCTCATTGGTTCTGCGACCTTCCTCGAAAGCGAAAGGTCCCAAGTTCGATCCCCGGTACTCCCCCCAAAAAAATTTATAGGGAATCAGAAGAGATCCAGAATAGCAAAAACAATCCTGGGTAACAAAAAGCAACAGGCATCACAATCGCATATATTAAGTTATATTACAAAGCCCGGTGAGAAAAACAGCATGTTACTAGCACAAAAAGAGACACATGGATCAATGGAACATAAAAGGTGATGCAGAAACAACCCTAGACACATTCAGCCATCTGATCTATGACAACAGAGCCAAAACTACATGCTGGAGGAAAAAGCCTCTTTTATTAAATGATGCTGGAGAAAGTGGCTATTTATATGCAGAAGACTGAAGCTAGACCCTTATTTCTGACCATCTACTAAAGTCAAAATGGTTCAAAAATCTAAATATTAAAATAGAAACAAACTGCTAGAAGATAAAATAAGTAAAATTCTTGAAGGCATAGGCATAGGCAAGGACTTTCTGAACAGAACCCCAACTGTACAAGAAATAAGGTCAAGAATCAACAAATGGGTCATATCAAATTAAAAAGGTTCTGCACAGCAAAGGAAACAACCAAGAGTGAACAGGCAACCTACAGAATGGGAAAACTTGTTGCCAGTTCATTTTGGACAAAGGATTATTATCTAGAATATATAAATAACTCAAAAAAGTTAGACCCCCAGAGATAAATAACCCAATCAAAAGTGGGCAACTGAAATGAACAGACACTTCCCAGAAGTACAACTACCTAATAAATATATGAAAAAATGTTCAACATCTCTGGCCATGAGAGAAATGCAAACTAAAATAAACTTGAACATTCATCTTACTCCAGAAAGAATAGCTATCATAAAGAAATCAAATAAAAACAAATACTGGCAAATCTGTTGGGAAAAAGTCATCCTCCTTCCTTGTTGGTCAAGCTGTAAACAACCACTGTGAAAATTAGTGTGGGGCTGGGGATTTACCTCAGTGGTGCTGCTGCCTGCCTCACAAGCACAAGGTCCTGAGTTCGATCCCTGGTACAAAAAAAAAATCACTGTGGAGATTCCTCAAAAAACTAAAACTAGAAGTTTCATGTGATCCAGCTATTCCCCTACTCATTATCTTCCTGAAAGAGTTAAAGACATCATCACACCAATGCAGCATACTCTTCTTTACAGCATCACAATTCCTAAGAACTAAATGTTGGAAGTGGCCTATACAGTAAGTCCCCGACCTACAAATGAGTTCTGTTCCAGGAGAAAATTCATTTCTAAGTCAGATTCGTTCCTAAGTCTGACAAAGTGAGTCTTATACAGTATATCTGTGAAAGTTTTCAACTGATGTTTGTAAGTTGAGGACTTACTGTATATCCATAAAGGAATAAAATTATGTCTTTTTTTAGGAAAAAGGATGCACCTTGAGATCATAATGTTCAGCGAAACAATCAGACACACAAGCTTAAATATCATATGGTTTCACTTTTGTTATAAACCCAAAGTATAAAGAGTAAAAGAAAAAAAAAAAGGTAGGTAATAGGAAACAGTGAGATGGATCTTTTACAAAAGGGACAGGGAATGGGATGAAAGAAAGATTGAAGGGAGGAAAGGGATGTAAAACGAATTAAGATGTCATGTACTTGTACCAACTATCCACAACAAATGTATTCATTATGTATCATAAACATGTACTAATAAAAAATAAAAATTCCTTCTTCTACTCAGTCTTTAGCTGAGTAAATATTGTGCAACTGTAAGTAGGAGAGATAACAATCTTCAGTTTAAGAGAGTACTCCACTTAGCAAAGATTCAGAAATATTGTAATGCAGGGCTGGGAAAGTAGGTGAGTGGTAAAGTCCTTGCCTAGCATGTGCAATGCCCTGGGTTTGATCCCCAGCACCACTAACAAACAAAACAAAAAATTCTATGCTAAAATTAAATAATGTACACCAAATATAGGATAAAAAGTATTATAAACCTTGCATTCTTTGAGCACACAAAACTTGGATGGAAACTGACATATGTAACATAATACACATGAAATCTGACACCAAAATGTTTATTAGCAGCATAATGGAGATGCAAAATCCAGGCAGATAAACTGGAAGTAAATTTAGAATCATAAGATTTCTGGAGAAATTTCCAGAGGAATTTAAATTCTATGTAATTTGATTTTTTTTATATATGAGAGAAAATGAAGACATAGAGAAGTAGAGATTCCAAGAATTACTAGTTTTTAGAACTAAAATCCAGGTAGTCTGACAATTAGATCAGTATGTGCTATATTCTCCAGAAGTCTGTACTTCAGTAGATACACTTTTTCTTTTCTTTATAAGATTATTATTATTTTTCTATTGATGGAATTTCCAGGCAGCCTTGCTTAAATCTGTTAAGTGCTCCTCTTTTGAGTTTCCAAACAACCTCGTGCCTACCTCAATTTTAACTCTTTAGCAGAAGTAAATTAAATTTTACATTCCTATCTCCTCTTTGCAAACTTCTTGAAAGTTGAGACTGACTAGTCTTCACTGTATATTCTGTTAACTAGCACAGTGGTTGACCACCTTTTTGTTTGGCAAACACTTTTTTAAACAATTAATTTAAAAGATACAAGTTGAATCCGAGTCCTTCAAAGCCTCACCATGATCCTTGTTGACTTCTCTAGTCTCAAAACATCCAATAGTGGTATAGAAGTGCTTTTAATTTTCATTTAGACAAGTTTCCCACTCTAGCTTTTTTTTCAAGAAATCCCACCACACATCCCACTTCCTTAATTTTCTAGTTAATGTCTCCTGGAAGTCTTTCCTGACTCATTACTGCTTATCAACCTAAATTGGATTACTCTGAGTTCCCACAGTTCCCTGTGCATATACCACTGCACTACACACAATCCATTGTAACACAATTACGCAAACATTCCACTCTACCCAAGTTCTATTTTTGTTGGTATCCTCCAAGATTACTACAGTGCTTGGCACATAGTCGATGATTTTAAAATGTGATTTAAATAAAAAGAACCGAGAACAGGGAAATAATCTTGACACAGGCTGTATTTTAGGGATGCATGTATGTGGAGATGCAAATTGGCTATATTTCCCTAAGACACATACGGAAATTAAAATAGAAAAAAGCCTTTCAATTTTGAGGGTAAAGCTCTAGTCACAAAACAATCTTTTGTAGAAGGGATAGTAAAATGGTAAAGGGCCACTACAGAAGCCCTTTAAAGAACACATTAGGAGCCAGGAAAGTAACCATTTATACAAATGCTAACAGAACTAGTCATCAGATGATATCGGATACTTCCAATTTATGTTTAAAATGCATTCAAGGGGTCAGGGATTTAACTCAGCAGTTCTGCCGCCTGCCTCACCAGCGAAAGGTTCAGAGTTCGATCCCCGGCACACACACACACACACACACACACACACAAAATTAAAATTCATTCAAAAATGAAAAAAAGCCAAAGAGTAATATATTCATAACTTGCTCCCAAATGGTCTAAGATATCAGGCATCACTATTATCCTTGAGTGCACAAATATTTTCCCTCATTTTTATTGTAGTAAAACATATGTTTCCATTTTAACCATTTTTAAGAGCACAGTTCAGTGGCATTAGGTCTATACACACTGTTAGGCAACTGTCACCATCATCGACCTCCTGATTTCATTTTTAATGCACAAGCCGTGGCCGCAATTTTCTTTGAAAGTTCTGCTTCAATCGCATAATAATTTTATGCACAGCAAAAAGTTGCCCTGGGTTAGATTCAGAAATAGAAGAATGAATAAATCAATGAAGGACTTTTTCAAGGGCTTCTGTAAGTGGAGTTTAAGCGCCAAAGGCTTCACTTCAGCGGTTCTCCTGCACCCTTTTGGACGCCGTCAAAGATGCGCACCCACGTTCCGCCAAAACACAGCCTGGGTCCCGAAGAACAGCTTCTTTAGTCCACAAAGTGAGTGGCGCAGGAACCTGGAGGTCTACCCGGGACAACAAGGTGGGCGTGAAGAGAGAAAGGAAAAGAAAAATAATGTGAGAAAAACAGATACAGTATGGTCCTAGCACTCTTCGTCCCGCTCCCCTCCACTTTCTTACTCCCCAGCCGCCTCCAAACTAGTAGCTCTCTAACCACGGACTCCTCCCTTTACCTGGCCTGGCGCCTTTTAATGACGCAGCCTTCCCGTTCTCGCGGGAACTTGGGAGTGGGAGCCGGGCAGAGTGCACAAATCTCCCAATCTCAGTCGCACCGAAGCCGGATTGGCAGTTGAAGATCCATAGGGGCGGGGCAAGGAGTCCAAAGGGGACGGAGCCAGGCCTCGGGGAAGGGCGGGGAGAGAGGCCGGGGGCGGGGTCGCGCGGCCGCGGACCTGTTGAGCGCAGGTATAGCCAGCTAGCCGGGGCTCCCCCGGGACTGGCGACTGCGCATGCTCGCTGGCTGCACCCGGCCAGTACCCGAGCTGTGTTGACGAGCCAGCCGCTCGCTGCTGTGGTAGCGATGTGAGTGGGCCCGGGGCGGGATGGTGCTGACCCGGACAGGGTCGTCTTCCAGCTGCCCCACGAGCTCTTCTGTCCGCCAGACGGGGCGTGAGGTCGCGCTGGTAGAGAGGTAAGCGCACCGCTGTCCTCTCCGCCTACGACCCCCCCACACCCCTCCTCCGCCCCTCGTCGCTCCTCAAGGCCCGGGGCAGCGGCCTCCGGCTATCCGCCGTCCCCGCGCCCCGGCCCGGCCCGGCCCGCCTCGCCTCGCCCCGGCCCGGTCCGCCTCGCCCGCTCGCCGGGGCTGCCAGCCGTCGCGCTGCGCAGTACGTCCCCCACGCCGCGCTGCTCCTCCTCATCCCTGGTCAGGTCTCATCCTGTCACCCCTGACCCCTTCCCCCAGGACTCTGCCTTCCTTGTCTTTGTTAGTTGCGGACCGTGTGTGCTTGTGTGGCAGCGCTTTGCCCTAAGCTCCTCTGTGCCCCGCCTTACCTTCGGAGGCCCTCTTTTGGTCCCCTACTTAATTGCTTTGTGTCCAGTGGCCCCTGACTTCCCATCCTTTTCCATCCTGGTCCCCTTACTAAAAGTCTGTGGTTTTGATTTTTTTTTTCCTCTTCTCTCTCTAGAACCCTTTTTTTTTTTAATTTGTGTAGACTGAGCCTCATAACTTCAGTCTGTTTGTTGAACCTCCCCATTCCATACACGCACAGGGGATTTTACTCAGCACATTCACACTGAACTACATCCCCAGCCTCTTTTTTATTTTGAGACAAAGTCTTCTTAAATTGCCCAGGCTGGACTTGAACTTGTAATCCTCCCACTTCAGCCTCCCAGAGTGTTGGGATTACAGTTGTGTGCCACCAGCCCCAGCTCGTTTGTTGTACTTTTTATTAAATCATTGAAGAGTCATAACATACTTTTCTAGTCTTTTATGCTTTCTACCTAAACTAATAACTCAATATTCTTAGTTAACCTTCCAGTTTATTAAAATTTCTTCACCTTTCTTATAAGCTGGAAATAGCATCAAAAGAATTGCTATACACTTATTGTTACTCTTACTGATCGAAGCTTTAGTTTTTAAGAACTATATTGTGTTTACCTGTCAACACCAGAAGTAATTCAGGCATAGACTTCATAAAGGGTTAGGATTTGTTAAAGGTCAGCCTACAAACATAAGCTTGACATTTGGAAATCTTACTGACCTTTAGTGAATATAGTTATCCAAGAGAAATTTATTAAACTGGTGTTTTATATGTTGCTGTTACTTCATATTGTTTACATCATTTTCCTGAGTGTCATTGCTTTTTTCAATAAATACATGGAATTTCTGTTTCGAATAGAATTAGTATGGTTACTGAAGAAGTATGAAGTTTTTGAATTGGATAAAACTTTCTAAACAGTTTTGGAAGTTTTTTCCCTATTTCATTGTGATCAAGATTAGATTTCTTCTCTGTCTATAAATAATGGTATAGAATCTTATTTTGGAGGTGTTTGCTGAAGCAGTTGTTTTCAATGAAGTTTGCTTTTATTCCAGGGTTGCAAATCAACTGGATTATGTATTTCATTTTGGAATCTCAAAGCAGTTGGCAAACGATAAATTCTTCCTTACATTATCAGCGTCAGGTAGGAATTATTTCTGTTTCTATTTTAAGAAAGGAAATACTAAGATATGAGTGTAGTTCCTTGCTCCAAGTGATTTATAGGTAAAAGTACTGTAGTAGGATCTGATGTCATTAAACCATCCTTCTTTTAGAAGAACCAACTATTGTGTATGGTAAGAGATGATGAACTCCTCAGCTTTTAAGGTTTTTTAAAACAAATTTTTTCACATGTATGTAAAAATAACTACTATTTCTGAAGGAAGCTTGCTCTCCCTTTAAAAGCAATTTTTTTTTTTGTAAATAGTCATTTTAAGAAGCTAATACTTACAAATTCTTGGTATTATAGTGAGTTGACCCTGTAGCCTTACTGTATTAGTGTAAGCATTCATGGTGTCTAGCAGGCACCACAGGACTAGGATGTCAAAAGATTTGAACCCTTTCAATGATTCATGACATAAGTTTGTGGAAGCCACTTAACCTCTACACCTCCACCTATAAAATGTGGATAATAAGGGTGGCCACCCAGTAATCTCTCAATAGCAAAGCCCTAATCATTTAGACATGCTTAGGGCCTAGGGCCGCCTCAGACAAAACAAACAAGCAAAGGCTTTGGATTTAGCTCAGTGGTTCCACCGCCTGCCAAAGCACAAGGTCCTGAGTTAGATCCCCAGTACCAAAAAAAAAAGACATACAAAACAAACAAGCAAACAGTATACATACTTAGTTTTTGTGTCTAATTTTTTTCTTTTTGTTGTCTCTTTAGTTTTAGACTACTAGTAAGGGCATAATTGACTGCTTAAATCTTTCAAGATCAAGTTGATGCTTTAGGTTCTTTTTTTTAAGTTTCTGTGAAAAATCTAGTAGAATGCTTGTGAACTGTTGGACTTGTTGGTAGTGTTCCTATACAGTGAAACAGACACTGCAGCATTCAGTATGTAAACCAGATATGCTTTTTTTTTTGGTACTGGGGATCAAACTGAGGTCCTTGTGCTTTCGAGGCAGGCCGCCAGTGGAACCACTGAGCTAAATCCCCAGCCCCAGATACGCTTTTTGTTTGCTAGGACTTGATACTAACAAGAGCTGTGAGAATTATGCATACATCTTCGATGTCCTCCTTGGTTTGCCCCCATCTTGTTTTTTCACTTTGTTTACTGTAAATACAGATTTTTGATTGTCAGGGTAGGGGGTTGTTTAGGAGATAGAAGGGGCAAGGATTTTCAATGCTTTGATTCTAGCATTGAGGAAAAATTGCTTTAAAATGAGCTTTATGGTATGTACATGTATATTTAAATGAATGAGGATGTGACATATAGATTTGTAATGAGTGTTTTTTCTTGTTTACTTGAGTTGTTTGTCAAGAACAAAGTGTAGAAATGAACAATCAGTGAGAGGCAAAGTGATGACATAGGAAAAAAGCATTGTTCATGGACCCATGGTTTTTCAGAAAAGTTACAAAGCGCAAGTTGTTAGGCTGGTGGTAGGTTTTTCAGAAGGAATATAGTAAAGCAATTACATAGAGGTGTCAACCTTGGTTTTTTTGAGACAGGATTCTGTGTAGTTGAGGCTGGGCTTGAACTCACTCTGTAGCCCAGGCTGTCCTTAACTTGGAATGATCCTCCTGCCTCAGCCTCCTGAGTGCTGGGATTATAGGCATGTGCCATCATGTTCAGCCTAGTAGGTGTCAACATTTTATCTTTATAGAGATTGGTAGTTATTTTTTTCTGCTAGTATGGGACATGGAACCCACAGAGTACTGAGCTACATCCCCAGTGCTTTTTATTTTGAGACCCGGCTTTGCTAACTTGCTGAGACTGACCTTGAACTCTCAGCATTCCAAGTGTTGGGACTGCAGGCATGCACCACCACACCCAGCTAGATTGGCAGTTCTTTTTTTGTACCGGGGATCAAACTCGGGACCTTTCCCTTGCAAGGCAGGTGACAGAACCACTGAGCTAAATCCCCAGTCCTAGATTGGCAGTTCTTAACGAGCACATAAGGTATTTGGTTATCAGTAATGTGCTAAATTAAAAATAAAAATTGTCCTCTTTTTCCTTAACAGAAATATAAAGATGTCAGGCACAGTATACTATCAAAAGATACCTCTTACTTGAATAACCCATTGTTTTTATTTTGGTGAAACAAACTTTGTGAACAGGCTGTCAACCAAGAAACCATTCTGAGAAAATTATAACATGTTGCCTTTTATGGAAGTAGGCCTCTATCGGTCCATTCAGAATGTAGAAAATCTTTCATATAAGGTCATCAATATAAAAGCCTATTGATGGTCTGCAACGTTTCTGTTAAGTTTTTGAAGTGTTCTTTTACTACAGGTCATAATTTAATCTGAACTAGAATTAGTATTCTTTTATTGAATCCCTTTGGATTTGAGTTATGGGATGCAAGTGTATCATTCATGATTGTTTTATAGCAATTGTAACTGTGACACCTGCTCTTCATTGTCTTTGAGTTGCCAGTAAGTCATGGGCTTACCTTGGAAATATTGCTGTCTGGAAATATTTACAAAACCAAGTCAGGGCTTATTGGCAGGTACCCTTTACCATCACTTTAGTCTTTGGGAATTGAGAAGAACCCCAGATTTTTAGACCACCTTCATCCTTATTCAGGTTTAAGTCTTAAAATTAGTTTTCTTTCTTTGGATGGATAAGGTTAGAATGTAGGCTGTCACTAATGCATTTATGTAAAATTAGTAGTCATTTTCTCCATGTATAGCAGTAACATAAAAATGCTTGTGAAGGCCCCATTATGATAGAATTCTGAAACAGTCCTCAGGCAGGGGGAGCCAGGGAAATATTAGTTTGTAGTGAGATTAATAGAAAAAATTCTCGAGTAGGTAGTTGAAGTACTAAGTCTGTTTTTTCCTGGTTTTCTCCAACCTCTAAAAAGAACTTGATTAGATTTTAATTAAAGCCTTTTCTTTAAAGGTCCTCTGGCATATAAATTAAAATATTTTCAAACCATGCAATTAAAATGTTTTTAACAGCCTGATTACTTACATTGCATTGTTTTGAATAGACATTTCCTTGAATGGAGTCATATTTGAAAATTGACATAAAATAGAATCGTAATGTCACCTATTTATTGAGCACCATACACCAAGTGCCATGTTTAATGCTTTGTGTATATTACCTGAAGTTAGCTAGGAATTACAAATATTATTTCCATTTGAGGAGACTGAGGCTTGGGAAGTCTGAGTCAGAATCCAGGTCTTCCTGACCTCACAGTTACTGGTACACTGAATGTTCACAAGAAAGTATAAAATGTCAAGAAATCACTGTTTCTTGGAATATTTTTCAGAAAGTGGATTCGTAGTGTTTATTCTAGTTCTCAGCTTTGATTTCTGTTGGGGTAACAAATAAGAAGCATTTTGAGCCTTGCTTGGCAGATCCCAGGACTAGGTGATAGATGATGACCATGGTTTTGTCAGTTTCTCTAAGAGAAATTAACTGAGTTTTGGTAATTTTGGCTAGTCTGATGTTTTTAAGATATATATCATAGCATATTTGAATGCATCCTATAGTATGTTACTGGCAGGTTTGTTTATTAACATAGATGTGTTACTAAAAGGTTTGTTCAAACTGCTTTTAGTGAATTAAACTTTATTTTCCCAGTGTCCAAATAATATCAGAGGTAGCTTTCATTAAGTGTCACATAATGAGCAATCAGCTTTTTTTGCTTCTTTACTTCTCGTGTAGGATGTGAACTGTGGAAATAATCTTACAGATTGCTATGGTTCCTTCTAAATAATGCTTAAAATTTTCTTTTGCTGCAGGTTTTTTACAGTAGTAACTCATATTAATGATGTTCTTTTTTTGTAAGGCATACTTAATGTAAATGTAGTTTGAAAATTATTAATAATGTATTTCCCTTTTAATAGACAACCATTTAAACATAAATTTTAAAGAAATTAGAAGAGGTGATGCCCTTAAAACTACTGGTGCTTGTGTAGCTGTGGGGTGTGAGAAATTTGAGGATTTCATAATTAGGAAACAAGGTTAATTATACAGGAAATTGAATATAGTTAATTTATTAAGTAATTTTTCTTTTCATTAGTGCTGCATTCTGATTTCAGGTTTTCTTTGGGTAGGCACATTTATCTCAAGAATTGATGATCATTAAATCTTTTTTTTTTTTTTTTAGCAGTTCAGATATAGATTTTAAAATTCTGCAGGTACAAATATAGGCCATGAAGTTTGACAATTTTGAGTTTTTTGTCCTTTTTCATTATTGCTTTACTATATGACCTTGGATAAATTATGTAAACTTTCTGCTTCTTAGTTTCCTCACCTGGAAAAAGTATTTATAGCTCTTTCATGTTTTTAGGAGATTTAAATGAAATAACATAATTAAAGCTGCTAGTGTAAGAGTTGGCACAGCAATAAGTTTTAAGTGCCAATATTTGGTATTTATACTACTATTGGTCTATATTTGGTATCAGTAAAGAATAGCCTTTTAAAATATAATTTATCTAGCTGTTCCCCTTATCTTTCCTTTGGAAGATCCTACTCTTTTTCATCACAAAAGAGAATTTAGTACTCTGTTCTTTTCTTTAAAATTGCTGTAATTTGTGCAGTATTGCATTGGCTAAAAAGTGAACTGTATCTAGGGCCAGGGATTTAGCTCAATGGTTTCACCACCTCCTGCGCAAGTGCAAGGACCCGAGTTCAATCCCTGGTACCAAAAAAAAAAAGTGAACTGTATCTAAAATTTATTTTGATAAATGGGGAGTGTCACCAAAAGTTTCTAAATAAATGATTTTCCTTTCTGTCTCCCCTTTTCTATAATGATTCTGATAAGCTCAGCTTTGCTATAAATCACTTTCTTAAAACAACACATCTTACTGATAAAAGTGTATTAGATATGTGAATGATTATAAGAAAAGGAAAAAAAGGTTAAAAGCCATCTGAGTGGTAGTGATCTTCAGGTTCAGGCAAATGACAGGTGGCTGGCCATTTAGAGATATAATCCAGTGACAGCATATTTAGCGCTTACAAGAGGGAGCTT